ATATATATATATATATTCAAAATATATATTTGTACATATATATATATATATATATTCTTGTATATATATATATATATAATATAATATGTACATGTGATATCATATCATATCATATCATATCATATCATATTATATTATATTGTGTTAGTTTTAAATTTAATTTTATATGATAGATTAAATTTAATAATTAACATGATATGAGAGAATATTATATCAATTCTATAGTTTGAATTTATAAGATAAATTCAAATTATATATGATATTATAGATTTTATTTTTGAGATAAATTTAATCTAAATTTTGGTTGGCTCTTCAAGAGAAAGACAAAAACCCTAATCTATATATAATAGATACAAGGGGATGTGCAAAGGAAAAAAGATAGAGAAAGTCTTTTGATAGCAAAAACCTCTGAGAGACACAAAAATTCCTAGTAAACAAAGGGACATCTAAATTGATGGACGGATAGACATTAGATATAGAGAACGCTAGTATGTTATTCGTGTTGGGAAGCTATTCCCGTGGATACTGGTAGAGGGAGAAAATCTATATTGTCAGCTCTTAAGATCTAATTTCTTAAAGACAACATGTGAAGAGCTCACAATTAAAAGGTAATTGTCTTAACCACCTTAACTAAAATGAGTTTGTTCAGTTCACATTAGGATAGGGATTTAAAAATTTTTATCTTCTGTTGTGCCTTCTTATCCACCACACTGTTGCTAACAATAGTTCTGTTAGCCTATAATGCATTGTGATTAATAATTAACTGGTTTGTTTCATGTGCTTAGTCCTCACATTTGTTATTCATGAATCTTGTAACTGTATTTGATTTCATAGCTTTGAGTTATGTTTGATTAGTATTATCCTCATGGACTGTATGTCCACATTTATTTTCGTGACTCAGGCTGTGTTTGGTTATATACCTTGCTGGATTGAGTTTAGTATATTGAATTATCCTCTTTTCAATTATTGCACATAATTGTTTGAGTATACTGTTTTTACTCTTTTAAATTATATTTTTAGGGAAGCTATTTACAAGAAAGTTATTTTTTTTATTTCATATTCATCAACTGAAGCTAAAGCTCCTGCCAATCACTGAGGGGGTTACAACTGTGCTTGATGGATATTTATTTTGGAATCGCCTTTCCTTTTGATGTAAATTCTCAAGTCTATGTATTATGCTTTTTGGAAACACAGTTTAGGGCACTCCATGATAACTATAATTAAGGTCTTGATCTTTTATTATGCTGTCTATCTGTTTGTCTGCTGCTATGGAGCGGCACTCTATATTCTAATTGTCATTTTGTAAAAACTTTTGTAAAAATTTTAGAGGGTCCTATTTATAGGGGAGGTGCTATCGAAATTTTTATAAAAAGTTTAATATTTTGACCTATGTAAAAATCAATATATATATATATATGTAATTATGCTAATAGTGTCCAATGCATTAATTTGGGTTTTCCTTAATTGAGGCGTTTGGGGTGTGTGCTTGTGCATATATTTCGTGCCTGTCTCACTTAATTTTTGGGCTGTGATGAGGTGTATCCTTAATTGAGTGCATGCAGATCGTGATCCACCATCATCTTCCTCATTGCACGTGGATGATTCGGAGTTGATTCCACGGGCTTGCGCTGTACTTGGACCCCAACATCAGCCAAGGCTTCGCCTAGCAGATGAAGAGCCACCTGGTACAATAGGTGGCATTTTTGTCATACTTAATTCTCAGTCAACATTATAAATATTTGGGTGTTTAATGTCAGATAAATTATTACGCTTTAATTATTTTATGAGCTAAACTTTTATGGCAAATAGTTTAAGATACTGGGTGTTTCGTGCAAAATAATTTAGAGATAAAAATGCATTTTACTCCTATAATCTTTAATACCTCCTTTAGGTCTTAAAATCACTACAAACCTTTCAGATCTGCTTCTTCTTCTTCTTCTTCTTCTTCTTCTTCTTCTTCTTCTTCTTCTTCTTCTTCTTCTTCTTCTTCTTCTTCTTCTTCTTCTTCTTCTTGTTTTTTTTTTTAATTTCTCAAAGTTTTTCTTAAATTTGTGGTAATTTTCTATAATTACACTCAAGGACCCAAAACCTTCAAAAATTGACCTTGAGTCAGGTCTACATTTCCAGGCTAACGTGCCCTTTAGCTCATTTTCTAACTTGCTGGTGCTTTATTGCAATCTCATTATTATTTTTTCTATTTAAATACTCCTTGTCTTTTCATAATTACAATTTTGTCCCGGACAGCTCTTACTCGCTTTTCAAGTTCAATTAAACAAGGATAATATACATCCTCATCAGTGTTAATGAGCAGCGAGCGAGAGGCAGAGGCTCAGAAATGAGAAAGGTCAATGTGACAAAATGAAAAGGTAGGAAGCCAAGAAGGATTTTAATTTCATTTTCACTTAATTAAAAGGGTATAATCTCCAAATCTAGGTGCTTTTGCAGCCACCTAGCAAACAAGTCAAAAGAAACGCATACTCCTTCCACATTACAAAATATAAGATATTTTTAATTAAATCTCACCTCCAATAAAATAGTTATTTACTTTTAAACTAACTTTATCTTTTATATTTACCCTTATTAAACACTCTACAATAAATATAAAGTTATTCATCAATAGGGGCACTTTAAAAAAAAAGATAATGATTATACATCAAAAAACTAAAAATGCCTTATATTTTTTTAACATCAAATTCCTTAAAAAATACCTTACATTTTTGAACGAAGGGAGTACAAGGAAAAAGATGACTCATATTCGCTTGCCTAGCAATAAATAATAAGATATAATTTTAATTACCGTTGTAAAATTGTTTTTTCTTTTTTGTTAATTTCCTCTTTTTTGACCTTTTACTTTACTAGACACGCGCACAAAAGTAAATTAATATTCCAACATGAACGTAATTTTAACCTTCCCAGGGGAAACTCATGAGTTATTTTTGACTATATATATATATATAATGAAGATAACCATAGAAGATGTGTGGCTTAGGTAGCTAACTGATGAATACCAACTCGGATCAACATGAACGTAATTTTAACCTTCCCAGGGGAAACTCATGAGTTATTTTTGACTATATATATATATATATAATGAAGATAACCATAGAAGATGTGTGGCTTAAGTAGCTAACTGATGAATACCAACTTGGATGATTTGATAGGATCAATTTCTAATTAACAGAATTTCTTGTGAAGTTATTTTGATTTCAACATAAATGCATGTTTGTCCCAAAAAAAAAAAAAACATAAATGCATGTTCACTAGCATGCCTTTCATTTGATTATTTTGTAATATTACCCTTATTAATTACACTAGACTTAAACATAATTTTAATTTCTACTCTATCTTTACTACCATTATTAATTAAAGGTTCATATAGAAGAAAAATAATTAGTTCTTTAAAAATATGTAATTTGACCTTTTTGAACAGTGATCAACATTATGTTTAGGACCTGATTAGTAGCCCTCACATGTCATTTTCTTTAGGTAGTAGTCCCTTTTCAATTTTCCTTACTTCATGTTTACACTAATGTTTGTTCCACTCTATCATAGCATCCTGACAGAACTATTATATATAAAATTCAATTCGGACTTCGCGCATATGTGTAGGGGCTGACCCACATTGTTTGTGTCTCAAATCCGCCGTGAAATCTAAAGAGATGTTTGTATTTTCCTCCGAAGCTACAAAAAAGGTGGAGCCACCATTATTTTCTCATTAGTCATCATCACACCTAACATTCATTGAACAATGCTTGCCTGGCTTTTGTTTTTTTAAAGATGACAATTAATTTTAAAAGATTGATTTAATGATAGTTAAGTATTCAACAAAATTTTATTAAACAACTAGGTTGTAATCAATTCAAACAATTATAAATTTAGACTTAAATGTCATTCCCCTGTTTTCAATGTTTAATACCTCATCTTTCTGTTCATTTGTAAACTTAAAGCCTATTATTAGTCACATGCATACCAAAACATTTAGGTGCACCCAGCACTACACACTTACTTTGACCCATTTCTATAATAATAAGTATTGAGCACTCTATATTAAAAGGTAGAATAATATCTTCTCTAAATAATTTTTTTTCAAGAGCAAAATTACCCTTACATCAAAAACCTATTCCATGTTAGCATTTTGAAGACCAAAAAAGGGGGCTGCCAGTAGCAATGGCAATACCCAACACTCTTTTAAAAAAGTTTAAAGAAAAAATGATCTTTAATTTTTTTTAATATATTTGAACCATACGTGGCTCGATCTTGTAATGCAAAATCACACGGTCAAATGATCAAAAAGCTTTTACTATAGTGCATTGTCCTGAGAAACGGTGATCCAGTACCTCCATATATTAGCTTTGTCAGTAAGGTTAGATTAAAGTAATGAAAATTTCAAGCTCCACTTGCACGTATTATGGATAAGAGGCAAATGGTCAAAAACAACAAGATAAGAAACAATTGGCTGGGATTCAACGCTTTATTTAACGTGAAATGCTTATCTAAATATATTTCTTAAAGTTGAGGGTGAAACAGACTTTCCTAATATATTATACTTTTTTTAAAAAAAATTCCCATTTAATTTTAGAATGCATTAGACATGTAATTCAGAATTTACAGTAGATATTCAAAATCAAGTGCTCCGGTACTTATCTTGTGGGATATATGTCTTTTTAATTTCCATTTATCTATAATAAAAAAGCATTTCAATATTGTTAAAAAAAATCCTTACGGTGGAATTAAAATCATAATGAAAAGTTAAATGATTTTCTGTCTTTTAAATTAGTAAGTGATACATATTTAACCTATCATGATTTCCTTTTAAAAATCTTATAAATAAACATTTGTTAATTCTTTAAATCATGAAAATTATTTTTCCAATTATGTATTTTTCTACACATATGTTACCCCCCCAAAAAAAAAAATACCCCTAACCATTCTTTGCTTCCCACTGAGTCTATTGTTTATAAAATGCCTTTCTCAACCTCCATCAAAAACCCCACCAACAGATGGCAATGATGGCAATTTTCCTCCTCCTCCTCCTCCAACGCCTCTTCCACCACCGAAATAACCGGCCACCGGGACCAAAACCGCGGCCAATCATCGGAAACCTCAATCTCATAGGTGCTGTTCCTCACCTCGCCTTTCATGCGCTATCCAAAAAATATGGACCCATCATGCATCTCAAGTTAGGCTTCAAAGACATCGTAGTTGCCTCCTCCTCTGACGTTGCTAAAGCCTTCCTCAAAACTCACGGCTTCACCTTCTCATCACGACCACAAACATCTGCCGGCAAGTACACAGCCTACAATTACTCTAGTATTCTTTGGGCCCCCTATGGCCCACACTGGCGCCAAGCTCGCAAGATATGCAACACAAAATTGTTCTCTCACAAAAGCTTAGAATCCTACGAGTATATCAGAAAGGAAGAGATGAAGAGTATTTTGAAAAAACTTTTTACTTCTTCAGGAACAACCATATTACTTAAAGATTACCTTTATACTTTAAGCCTAAATAACATAAGTCGCATGGCATTGGGGAAGAAGTATGTGGAGAAGAGTTGGAAGTGGAGTTGTGAGTTGGGGAGTGTAAATACTGTATTTTGCCCGGGCTTTCAAGTGTAAATTAGAACTTAATAAAAACATGATAAATCAAATAAAGGAATAAAAAAAGGAAGGGCTTTTGTGATAATAATAACAATAATTTTTTTTTACCCCAAATCCCCTTAATTATGATCCTATTAAAGTTGACTTTTTTTAAAAATGGAAATTTAGAATATTTGAAATCTGATTTGAGAAAATTGTGCCTTGACCGAAATTTGTTTTTAATTAATCTACAATCTCAAATAATAAAAAAAAAAGATTCAAAATAAAAATTGCCTTTTTTGTTTAATCCTCTTATTAAATAAGAGAACCCTAATTAGCACCTATAAAAAGGTAGAGAAGAGATTGGAGAGGGGGACGAAAGAAAGGGAAGAAATTGACACTCAAAATTCATTATCCTTCCAGTGCAAGCATTTAGGAATTGATCAAAACGTTTGCTTAGGTAAGCCAATGCTCTCGGTGATTTCATGCTCCAATTTGGTCAATTCTCCCTGTGCGTAATGCGTTTCTCATTCCTTCAATTGATATCACTCATAATTTCCTTTTGGCTTGCTTTTCTTTTACCTGTGCGTTCTTGTACTCGTAGTAATTGATATCATTGTGATTGGTCTTAGTATGGCTGTTCGATTCTGCTTAGGCATGTGGTGTGTGGGCTGTCAAGGTGATTATTTGATGATAATTTATTATGTGGTAGAATGAGTTTGGCATTAATTTATTTGTATCAATCCTTATTTTAGACTAGATAATCATTCACTTTTATTTTCTTAAAAAGAAAAGAAGAGAAATGAGTCTCAATGATAATGCATTTTTCTAAACCTTTAAAACAGAGAAAGATCCATGAGTGATACTAAATCACTATGGGTATTCGATGTATTGTGAACAATACTAAATCACCTTGAATTCTTAAAAAATATCAAAAGAAAAAAATTGTGAATGACACTAAGTCGTCGCAGGTATCAAATTTTATATTTAGAATTCTAAAATTAAATTATTCTATAAAAAATTCACTTTGAAAATTTCTTTAAGATTTGTCATAAGTAATACTAAATTATCGTGTACATATAGAAGCATCAACTAGTGGACTGCGAGTGATACTAAATCATTGTAAGTTCCAATATTTGTTAAATTTTCCTCTCTTATGCATTATTAAAATAATAAAATAATAAAATTTTTAGCATATTTTAGGTTACCCCAAGAGTGATATTAAATCACCGTGGATTCCTAAAAATATTAAATGAGATACCATGAATGACACTAAGTCATCACAAGTATCTAATTTTATATTTAAAGTTTCAAAGTTAAATTATTTTATAGCAGATTCACCTTGAAATTTCCTTTAAGGTTTGCCATGAGTGATATTAAATCACCGTGTGCATTTAGAGTGTCAACCAACAAATTGTAAGTGATACTAAATCACCGCAAGTTTCGATACTGGTTATTTTCCTTTTATCCAAAGGTACTTCCTTATGTCAAATTTTTTTTATTTAAAAATAAATATAATTATGTAACACAAAATAACCTTCTCTTCATTAAATAAATTAATAAAAAAAATTAAAAAACCTAAATAATAACATTCGAACTACGTGGACTTTGATCCCCATCACAGGATACGTAGGCCCTAGGTTTTAATCCTAGGTCAAGTCCTTCCATGTAAATAAATAATTTATTTTCTTTTATTTCTTACCTTTATTTTTCATGTGCAATAAAGAACAACTAAGATATTATTAAAAGGCCAATTAATTTACACAATCAACTTAGGGTAACCGTTCTTATGAACGGGTGTTGTGGGGTGCCTAATATCTTCCCTATGCACAACCGACTCCCGAACCCTATTCTGGTTATTATAGACCATTTTATTTTTAAAAAGGTTTCCAAAATTATCCTTTTAAATTTTAGTGGCGACTCCTACGTTTATCGATCCTTCCTTTTCGGGGAGATCACGATCCGGGCGCGACAGGGACAGTTTAGAAAACTTTTGGATGAGTTTTCCTTGCTGAATACCTTTGTGAATATTGGGGATCTAATCCCTTGGATCAATTTCTTGGACTTGCAAGGTTATATGAAGAGAATGAAAGATTTTAGCATGAAGTTTGATAGGTTTCTAGAGCATGTGTTGGATGAGCACGAAGAGAAAAGAAAAAGGGTTGAAAATTATGTGGCCAGAGACATGATGGATGTGCTTTTGCAGCTTGCGGAAGATTCCACTTTTGAGGTCAAACTTCAAAGGCACACTGTCAAGGCATTAACTCAGGTATATGTATATGTATTTATTAATAATGGGTTTGCTTCTTTCTCCTTTATTCATTTATACCAAATAGTTAATGAGCATGAGATTAGCTCTGTCGATATAGGTATGGCTTTTGTTTCTTGTTTTTTGTTTTGATTGAAAGGCTCCATTCAGGTGTTGCTTTTCTCTCTTGTTTATGTTTAATTCCTACATCGATTGAAATCTTTTTACACTTGGAAATTCTAACATGTAATTACATTTTACATTTTTATCCTACACGATAATGATACTATGACTCTGAAGGTTTTTTCTCCCCTTTCCCTCGTCTCTAATTTGTATCTGGTTGCTAGTTTACAATCTAATTAACATTTGTGCTGAAGGGCTTAAGGCAATCAATAAGTTATTGCACCCATTATTACTCATCAATATATTCTATAAAAAGAAATAAGAAACATTGCTAATTTACTTTATATTGTCTAAAAATTTTTGTGATTGTTGATTTGTTTTATTATATTAAATTTTTAAATTTTATATTGTTTAATGTTGGTTAAAAAAACTTTATATTGTTCAATAAAATCATAAACCTCATTATGGATTATAAGGGTTGTTAGAATGAATTCCAAATCCAAAACTTTTTGAGATTTTGTGCAATATCTGTACAATATATACTTGGGAGATAGCATCATAGAAAATACAAAAGGGAAGAGAACAAGAGGCAAATTTGAGTATAAACCTTGCTATCTTCATTCATTCAAAATATAAGAGTATATATATACAAAGGGGAAGAGCTATCCTAATAAATACATGATTATTTTAGTATAATTACAATGAAGGAAATACAAGATAGGAAGCTTTAATTTGGTCAACACTTATACTAGAAAAATTATCCCAAATAATACAATTCTTATCAATTTATAATTATAATTAACACCCTCCATCAAACTCAAGATGGGGGAAGAGAAAGAATCTTGAGTTTGTTTACTAAGATTTGGAAATGGCCCAAATTAGGAGACTTGGGTGAACAAGTTAGCAGGCTACTGAGCAAACAAGATGAGGGCTAGTTTAATTTGATGGTGCTGTGAAGAACATGTTGTTGAGTGAAATGACAATCAATTTCAATGTACATAGTCTTCTCATTGGTGCATTATTGTGAGCAATATTTATGACATTCAAACTATCACAATAGAGATCAATAGAGGAGGTTTCTGGAGCTTCCATGTTTAGTAAGTAATAACTAGTAAAGCTAGCGTATTTTAGCAGTAGTGCTACTAGTGCATGATACTCAAATTCTGTATTGTAACAAGAAGATAATGTCTATTTCTTACCCCTTCATGAAATAAGAGAGTCATCGAGAAAGATGCAAAAAATAGGAGTAGACCATACCGATGCTCATCAATATAGTCAACTCCCCAACCAGCATCAAAGTAGGCATGTAGAACTAGAGAGAAACTGGCAGTAAAGTAAAGGCCACAATACAAAGTATATTCTTAATAAACCAAATGATGAAAAGAATTGCTACATAATAGTTGTGCTGACATAAACTGGTTGAGAATATGAAGAGCTTAGGTAATCTAGACAAGTTATTGTGAGATAGATTAGGCTCCCATCCAACTTATTTGCAGTAGCTTGTAGGATTTTCTAACAATATACCATCAATAGGGTGAATTAAGCATCGAGTTCAATAGGAGTAGTCTCAATCCCATCATTAAAAAGATGAGCTCAGGACATCAAATAAAATACATATTTAACTTGAGAAAGAGAAATACCATCATCCACAAAGTAGCTTAAATTTCCAAGATCCTTCATTTCAAATTGTTCTCTAAAAAAATCCTTAAGTTCATGGATCCCTATTGAATCATCACCTATAGTGATTATGCCATCAACATAAAGAAGCAACAAAACAATCCCATGATCAATTCTTTGAACAAAGAGTGTATGTAGGACTATATAAGAACCCAATTTGATTGAAAGTGGAGCTAAATTTAACAAACCAAGTAAAAGGAGCTTGCTTGAGACCAAATAAAGATCAATGAAGGTGATAGACTTTATTTGGTGGACGAAAGTAGCTAGGAGGAGGTTTCATGTAAAGTATTGATAAAAATATGTTTAACATCCATTTGATGAAGATTTCATTGCTTAACCACAATAATGGCAAGAAGGATACAAACAAAAGTAAGACTAGCAACATGAGAAAAAAAGTTTCTTAATAATTGATGCCATACTCTTGACTATTAACTTTGCCACCAAATCAGCCTTGAAGACATCTAAATAGCCATTAGAGTGAGTTTTATTTTTATAAACCAACATACATCCAACTAGAGTCTTAACAAAATGAAGATTAATCAAGTCCCATTTTTCCTAAAGCTTGCAATACAACTTGCATTGTTTATTGCAAACAAGAGGCTTCATTGTAAGATTAAAGGTCCTGAAACTAAAAGGATGATAGAAAAACAATGGTAATAATTAAGGTAAGCAAAAGGATTTCTTACACTAGTAGATTTGGTGGACACAGAAAGAAAAGGCTCAAAAAGATTGTCTTGTGTAGGAGTATCATTAAGAGTAGAAGCAAGAGCATGATCATTGAAGGAGGTGTACCATCAAACGTGCTGGTGACTCATTAGTCTAATATGTTCTTGAGTCAGTAGGAAATAGATCAATATGGGGATTTGTAAAGGAAGTAGATGATGTAAGGGGAATAGAAGAGAAGTGAGGAAGAGAAAAAAACATGACATGTTCCCAAAAAACATGATGAGAAATTTTAATTCAATAAGGGAGAGGATCCTAACATTGATAATCCTTATGATTAGATTCACATCCAAGGAAAAAATAAACATGATACAAGCTTTCAATTTAGTAGTCATGAGGTGGGAGAAGAATAAATAGTTTCAACAAAAGACTTTTAACATCACATAATCTAGAGGAGTACCATAAAAGTAAATTAGAAAGGGAGTCACTTTTATTGAAGGGAAAAGCAAGATGTTTTGTAGTTTGACAATAGATTCAAGATTTTATCACTAAGAGTCAAAGATAACAACTAGAAATTACAAAATTCATTTTATTAGATGAGGGATGAGAAAGGCCATAATGCCACAGGTTTTAGGGGTTTGAAGGTATAAGGAGCCTATAATCTGAAAGAGGTAACTTCAAGAATATGCAAAGAGATGAGTTTAAACATACACCCAACTTTATGCCCAGTCTCGATGATCTAGCCTATCTAATAATCCAACAAACACATCACAACCAAGGTCAACAAGTTGCTCAATAAAAAGGAGGTTAAAGCTAATGGAAAGAATAAAATAAGTATCATAAGGATAATGTAAGAAAGCATTATTACTATGACTAATAGGCATTTTAAATTTATTAACAGTATATATAGGTTGAATAATGGAATTAGGGGATATTGAAGAGAAATTTTTTTTTCTTAGCTAGTCTTGTGATTTTACAACACATGGCATTAAAGAACCAAGAAAAGGTATCTAAGGGACTGGCAAAAGCACTTGGAGGTTTAGAAATTCTAAAAAGAAGTCTTTGAAGCATAGCCTCAAGGTCAGCAAAGTGGAGAATCTTAGAATAGGTTTAAAAGTTATGTTGGCAATAGCATAATGTTAGATAGAGCAGGTTGGGATGAAGAACTAGATAGTGTTGAGTGCTTACTTTGATTAGATCTAGGTGGATGAGTAGGAAACTAATCTATAAGATGCCCTAGCTTTTTACAATATATAATGGAAAGTCAAAGACGGAAATTTGCAACTTTGTATCTCTCTTCTTATAAGTGTGGCACTTAATCAATGAGTACTCTATAAATACACGATTGAACTGAGGTTAACATTGATGAAGCATGAAATTCTTGTTAGGTACAACGAAAGCCATTTCTAGACTATGCTTCAAAAGACCTAAACAAGTCTCTTTATATATTGGTTAAGGAAGAACAACTTCACTAGTGGGAAGGGAAACTTGATGTAACAAATTAACAAATGTTTTGTATATTTAAAAAAAATAATCAATAGCAGAAACAACTTAAAAATAAGTGTTTCCTAAGCCATATGCCCTTTCTTGATTCTAAATTTTATTCTTGCAATTTATAATTTAACTTAATTTATAACCAAATCAAGCATAACACTCAAAAGCAACCACAATAATATATATTCAGAATTACAACATTGAAAAGCACCCATTAGAAGTTAAAATTTCAAGTATACTCAGCCAAACAACAATCTAGTTATTCCAATTCATTTAAATATAAACAAGATGAATTAACAAAGAAAATAAAAATCAAAACATCCAAAAGCACTATAAATCAAAATCACACACAACCTACACCCATTTGTAAACTGCAAGAGTAAAAATTCAACTTTCAAGAGCCTACTTGCAACCCATTCTACATATATCAATTGAGGATGATATAAGAGAAGGAAGAGGAAAAGGAAACTTACTGAGAGAAGAACCCCACGAGAAAGAAGAAAAGAAGATTCAACCCATGGCCAATTGACATAAGACACAATGGAGAACAAAAAACACAAAGACCCATGGCTAAACAAAGAACAAAACCCACCAAATCAAGGTTGTTTAGGTTCGAAATGGAGATTCTAAGGACGAAATGAAGTTTTCAAAGCTATTTCCAATGAGAAAATAGAGAAATGACGAGTCTGATTGGAGAAAAAATGACCATTAAAAGTCAAATTTAAAACAATTAAGGCTTGACACTTGTTTACTAATAATAGTGAAATATATAATTGATATATTTGATAGTTATTTCCAAACAAGCATCACATAATTATATTTTTTAGATAATAATAAAATTATTAATTATTTGATGCTTGTTACACAATAACTATCAAATATATCAATTATGTATTTGATGTTATTAGTAAATAAGCATCAAATATATATATATATATATATATTCTATTAAAAAAATATATATATATATATATATATAACAATTATTTGGTAATAACTGTAACTGTCAAATATGTATTTGAATATTTGACAGTTGTTTTGACTGTCAAATATTTTTTTCCTTTTTATTTGTCATTTTTCACATATAACCATCAAGTATAGGACTTTGCATTTAACCTTTTTTATGGTACTGAAATATGAAAATTTGATAAACACTTATACTAGGAAAATTATATTGATAATACAAATCATATCAATTCATAATTACATATATATATATACTCCTTCTGTTAAAAAATGTAAGGCATTTTTTTAGGAGTTAAATGTTTAAAAATGTAAGTTATTTTTAGTCTTTCGAGATGTAATCATTGCCTTTTTTCAAAAGTATTCCTATTGATAATGAATTTATATTTATTGTAGGGTGTTTAATAGACGTAGATATGAAAAGATAGGGTTAGTTTAAAAGTAAGTAACTACTTTAGTGGGGATAAAATTTAGTTAAAAATATTTTATATTTTTTAACAGAGGGAATATATATATATATATATATATAATTAACATGAAGTAATGTTTGTTTATAATTAAACTTTTCAAATTTAAGAATATATAAATATTCATATAAAAATATTATTTTTATTTTAATAAGGGTTAATGAGCAAATAATACCTTGAACTATTGCTCGAAAATCATCCTAAACCCTCAACTCTTAAAATATGCAAAACAAACCTTAAACTTTTAAATTCATAGCAAAATAAACCCTAACTGTTAACTTTTTAACACCATTACTGTCCATGCAAGTACTGCTCAAGGCTTATTTTCCTATGAATTTAACTCTAACTATTATAGCACCCGTGTGGACAGTAACGGTGTTAAAAAAATTAACGATCAAAGTTTTTTTTGCTATGAATTTAAAAGTTTAGGATTTATTTTGCATATTTTAAGAGTTTAGAGTCCATAGTGATTTCGAGTAAGAGTTTAGGGTCTTATTTGCTCATTAACCCTTATAATAAAATTACTAGTGAGGTTGAATAAAGGTAACAACTATTATATAAATTAAAGGAAAAACATAACTTTAAGTCTCTACACTTTGTTTGTGTTTTGTTATTAGTCCCTACAGCTTTTTTTAGGTGTTCTAGATCCCTACACGTTTTGTTTTTCAGCATTTTAGGTCCCTCCATAAATAAAGCTAAGTGTAAGGATTTTAGAGGAACCTAAAACACCAAAAAATTAAAGTGTAACGACCTAAAATATTTAAAAAAAGTATAGGGACCAATAGCAAAACACAAGCAAAGTGCAGGGATCCAAAGTTATTTTTTTCCTAAATTAAAATAATATTTTTTTAAGTTATTTATTATTATATCCTTTTTTACCATAAAAATTAAAATCAAATGTTTAGATATAAAAAATGAGTCTTGATGATATTTCTTTCTATTTCACACCTATGCAATTTTGAATATTTTTGATCAAATTTTAATGATTTAAATATATTTATAATTTAAAAACCATTAAATTTGAATTATAAAATTCAATCAGACTATTCAGTATCTATCAATGAAATGGAATATTTTTGTAATCCAATATATAGCCACCCACCCAAACACTTATAATTTCCCCCTTAGCCAATACTAATAACATGCTTTATATTTTTATATTCCTCAAGACCTTTTAATAGCTGGAATCGATACCTCTGTAATAACTATAGAATGGGCAATGACTGAGCTCTTGAAAAACCCAAAAACCTTAAAGAAGGCTACATAGGAGTTAGATAGAGTGATTGGAAGAGACAGATGGGTGGAAGAGAAAGACATAGCCAACTTATATTGTAGACATTGTCAAAGAAACAATGAGGTTACACCCTGCAGCACCCTTACTACCTCCAAAGTTAGCCATTGATGATTCCAAAGTTGTAGGTTATGACATCCCAAAAGGCACCCAATTGATTGTCAATGTATAGGCTATTGGCAGAGATCCCACAATATGGGAGAACCCTAATATGTTTTTCCCAGAAAGGTTCATTGGTAAGGATATTGATGTGGTAGGACATCACTTTGAGTTATTGCCATTTGCGATTGGAAGAAGGATCTGTCCTGGTTACACTCTTGCTCTAAAGGTGGTTCAATCATGTTTGGCAAATTTAGTGCATGGGTTTTCATGGAGCTTGCCAAATAACATGATAGAGATGGACTTGAACATGAAGGAAACTTTTAGGCTTACTAACTTCAAAAAGCTACTACTTGAAGCTATTATTAAGCCTAAGCTTTCTTCTTATCTTTATTTCTAGTGATATATATATATATATATAAGGAAAATGATACTCATAATATATATATGTATATGTAAAGAACCTTGAGGGAGTTGTTTCAACCATTATTTTTCTTTTATTTAAGTGCAGTGGTCTTCATGACTTGAGCGCTATCATTTAGCTTCATGTTATTAGTATTACTTGTATTATAAAAGCATATGGTCAAATGATTAGCATAATGTTATAAATTAAGAATATATTGTGTCGTATGTGAAATTTTGTTCCTCTCTATATTATAGTTTAGTTTGTTTATTTGTTATATTCTATGGACAAAATAGTTAGTTTGTTATACAAGTAGTTAGGGATTTAATTATTGATGATAAAAATTCCTAGCTAAACTCTCAAACACAATCATATTGCATTGCTTAGTTTAAAGACAAATCTATATTCCACTAAGGGATATTTCATTTAAGGACAAAATGTGTGACATATTTTCAAATCAAGGCTAACACAATCTAAAATTCTATTGCAGGATATTGAGCTTGAATTGAAATAAAATTTTAAAATAAAATGACCAAAATATCCTTTTTTAATATGTTGCAAGATACAAGTTAACACAAGAAAATTAACAAGTAAATATTTTAACAAGTAATATATTGAATTAACAACTAATAACATCAACTACATTACTTGGTAAAAACTAAGCTTTACTTGCAAATTCCTTTGTATTACTTATTGTGTATGTTGCGACATACTGGAGAAAGATATTTTGGTCATTTTATTTTACAATTTTACTTCAATTTAAGCTCAACATCCTATAGTAAAATTTTAGATTATTTTGGACCTAATGTAAAAATACATCATATCTATAATCATTAGGTAAATTTCTCCCTTGAAGTATTGAATGAGAGCTATCATACACTCTTCAAAATAGTTATAGTTTTAACCCTAATGTAGCAAAAGGTCAACCCTAACTCATCTTCCTCGTGAGGTGCTCAATTCAATTATGAGGTTACCTGGTGAACAAATTATCACAGTATTTAAGAGTGATTTCTAATAACCTTCCAAATAAGTACGTACCAAAATCTAGACTAATATGAATGGAGTGAAAATTCCCTTATGAATGATTAAAACCCTAGAGTTTGGTTAATAAAGGAATACTCATCTTCTTGTTGATTAAGGCTTGAGTCCTTTGAAAACCCCCCTTTAATTGAATTATATAAGACTTAAGAAAACTATCCTAAGCCACTTAACCTAGCTAGTTCAATTCCTTAAGTCTTAAACTAAAGTCCTTTGGTGATTTCCCTAGTTGGTTTTAAGTATTGACCAAGTATGCTAATTAATTCCCCCTCAACAAGTCTCGACCAAACTATGATTAAGTCATAAGACTATGTTAACCCCCTCAAATGCCAAGCAACAACTTCACAAGACTAAGTAAAATTAATGCAAGACAATCACCAAAAGAAGAACACAATATTATGTATATTTCAAGTAGTAGCCAAATTCAACCCAAGATTCAGCAAGAGAGAAATCAATTCCATAAGCTTCTTCTCCATATCAATTCAAACTAGAATTACATAGCTATGATAATCAAATCCTAAATTAAGGGATCTAATCATCAAGTTAAAAGAGACAAGATGAAGAACAGGAGAGAAAATGAGAGTGAAAGGAAATTTATGAATGAGAGGGAAAATGATTTAGATTTGAAATAAGGGCTGTGTGATTGAATTAAATGAGCTGGAAAAACCAAGAAAATAAAAATAAAATTTTGGTCTTCTCATTCACATGGATTTGGTTGAAATTGGTTGCAAGCTTTAGAGGGAAAGGTGATAATTCCTATGCTTGTACATTTAATCAATTGATTCACACCTCTTCATAGCTTATGCTACAGCTTAAAGCATTGTAAATCACACCAACTATAGCCCTTTTGGTCACATTGAAGTTGCCTTGGACTTATATCTTTATGTCACATGTGCCTTTGACTTATGACACATTTTATATAAAAATCAATTTGTTATAGTGTGACATTAATAAATGGTATTAAAGTGTAGAATATTAATCCAAATTAGGTGAGAAAAAGGTCAGGTGTAAATGCAAATAAAGGCCTAACAATAAACAAGTGTGTAGGTATATATACTAGAATGCAATGCTTAGGGCAAAATAAAATTAATAAGCCCACTGAAAAGCCTTTATCATATCAAATTTTTCAAAGAAATTAAAATGTATTTGAGTATACCTGAGGCAATCAAAATCCCAACAGAGCAATCTTAAGCAACCAAAGACAATTTAGAAACCATTTCCATAGGTTAAAAAACAATGTTGGTTTTGGAAGAAAAAAATTCAAGGTTTAAGGTGCTTATGATTTATGAACTTTATAGGAAAATGTGAAATGAAGTGAACTTTATAGGACTTAACCAAGCAAACAAGTAAGTTCTCCAAGGTTTGAATCCACTTTAATCCTAAGTTCAATTCATTCAATTCTTGCAATTCATTTAACGTTAATTAAAATGCCTAATTACCATTAGGATTAAGTGATTGTGGCTTAGATCAAGACATAATTCCTTTAAAAATTATGCCAAACAATGACTTGACTCTAGAATTAGATCTTACCTTGCCTTAACCATGTTCTAACACTATGAAATAATCAAGAATCAAGTAATTAGCTTCAATTTAAGACCTAAACAAAAGCTAAATGGTTCATATATTACCACAAGGATTGGACAAAATAGCATTTACACGGCAATAATCATTGAAGCATAAATTAAAACATATAATATGCATCATCCAATTAAATAGTCAAATCATAGCATCTAAGTGTCTTAAAGGAATGAAATCAGTTAGAAAATCAATTAAAAAATTCAATCTAACAAGAGTTGAATCAACAAGTCAAAAGAAATAAGGCAATAAGAGAAATTCTAAGTGAGTTACAGCATAACCAAAATGAATTGAACAAAGAATACTGAAGTGTAAGTGTCATCTCCTTTAAAGAACTCTAGAAGAAATTCAACTATTCATTTCGATCTCCTTAATTACTTATTGAAGAAAACATCCATGAAGAGCTGCCATGGATGATTTCTTTAAGAAATTTGTGAATGAATGAGCCTCACCCTAACTAAAATTGAGGGAAGGAGTGTGTGATAATATGTGATCTTGTGCGATGAATTTGTGTGACCAAGAGGAAATTAGTGATTGTGTGCGTCATGGCAAAAGAGAATCCTCTTAGTCTTTGGTCAAGAATCGAACATAAGTCCTCCCTCTAGTCTCTTTCATTCTTCATTCCGTTATTCCTCAAAGCCCTTAACCTAATTTAAAATTTGCAAAAGACAAACTTGCCCTTCTCCTCCTAAAGACATAAGGCAAAATGATCAAATCAAATTTAATAAAATTGAAACAAATAAAATCTTACAAATGAGAATAAACATTACCCAATAAATAAAATGTATCAAGGAAATGATATTCTAGAATAAAAACAATTAATTCCCAAATAATATATGAAAAATGACCAAATTGTCCCTAATGCCAAAACTTAATGCAAATGAGCCAATGATCAAATTCAATGCCAAAACCATGCATGTAAGGGTCTAAACTAATGAAATATGGTCAAAAATGTAAAATAGAAGTGTGCAAAATATGTGATTCATTAAATTTCCCCATACTTAATTTTTATACTGTGGATAAAGTCTATACTCAAAAATAACTTGTCAAGGTTTCTTAAATTTCAAATCAGAGATCTTTTCACAATAACTCAAGAATTGATATTGTTCTAGTTTAGGTACTCCATCTGTCACAAGAAAACCATTAAAAATGTACAATGTCATAAAGAGAGCCTCACAAAGATAAGTGCTTAGCACTCAAGCCACTCAAAGTGTTTAAGGTAATGATTTTGCTCAAATACCTTGGCAAAACATCCTACTATAGGCTTGTAAAACATCTACATCTCTACTATTAATAAGCAAATGAAATCAAAAATCAAGTGAACCTTTATTTGGATGTAATGTGGTTTAGAAAGAATTCTTAGATTTGCATAACAAAAGTGGGGCCTAGCTCAAAGAAACTTGTCTTGGCCATAATATAGCATGAAACAACGTACAAAAAACTTGAAAAACCAATCAAACATTATAGAAGATGGCCAAAAATATAAAATGAGGTGGGATATGGAAATGATGTTGAAAAATGGAAGAACAAGGAACAATTCTCATAACTTGCAACCTACAAACTCATTTCCAAACTCTTTATTTCATTTTTCTACTTTTCACTTCATTCACTTGCTTCCAAACATTTTTCTAGCAATTTTGTTGCTATTTTTCATTTTTCACAATTGTTCAAAACTATTTTTTCCCTTCTTTTCTCAACTTGCTTTTATTTTATTATCTTCTTTCAACTCAGGTTTCTAAAACAACCTTGTTCCTTAAAAAATATGTAGGTAACTATGTTGGGATAGAATGAAATGGAAAGGAATAGTATAATGGAAAAAATGATGACTATGCTCAAAGGTAAGCCAAGGAGAGAAATGTCTATTGCAATATACAAATTGAATTTACATGCAATCCATAGTTAAAAAGGGTGAAGTGTTTGTTTTCATGAGTAAAATAAACCAAAAAGGCTCAAGGGCTAACAAAGGATATAGAACAAGTTAAGGTTAGCTAAAGGCCTTTGGCTTTTTAATGAATCCCTACTATCACTTGCTTTCAAGAAAATGCAATGATGTAGCCTCAAATGAGATGAGAAACAAGTTCTACAGGATGCTAAAACCAAAGGATAATTCACTCTATAGTGTTTGGCTCCTTCCAACAAGATTTGTGTCTCTCTACTCAATTACACATAATATAATAGAAAGCTTGTTTCACAAAGTACAATAGCTAAAGTATCATCATTTCAAGAGTTATATTCCAAAATCTAAGAAAAGTTCCTCGACTTACCTCAATAAGGTCAAGAATAGATTTTTTTTTAAAGGTTTCAAAATAACCAAAATTTTTATGACTCTTCCCCTATACTTATGTTATGCATTGTCTTCAATGTATATATACTCAAAGAAAAAT